GGGGGGGGGGGCGGCAGGGTGTGGGGCCCCACGAGGCCCTGAGGTGTACATACACCTGAAGGCTGCAGCAAAATGATGTGTCTTTTGTCTACACAGAAGGCAGCAGCAGCAACTTTAACGCTGCTGCGGCGGCTGCCAACGCCAGCAGCAGCAACAACAACTGCAGCAGCAGCAGCAACAACAGCAACAGCAGTAACTGCAGCAACAGCAGCAACAGCAGCAACAGCAGCAGCAGCAGCAGCAGCAGCAGGGACAGCATTCCACTTTGACCTTCAATTCAAAAGGGCCTTAGCGACGGCAACGGCTACAACGGATGCTGCTGCAGCAACATCTATTGCAGCAGTAACAGCAGCAGCAGCAGCAGCAGCAACAGCAACAGAAACAGCACGGCCTCTGGAGCAGAAGCTCCTGTGGGGCCCAGCATGGGGGCCCCTAAGCAGCAGAATATCAGGGCAAGCCCAAGGGCTGTCCCTCTGCAGCGACGTTTGTTTGTTTCGTAAGCTTCTAAACATGCAGCAGCAGCAGCAGCAGCAACAGCAAGCACAGGACTATCTGCAGCAACAAAGTTTTTGGTTTGATAGGCCTCAGGGCTTCCTTGACAGCACTTTGCTGCAGCAGCAGAACCTGCTGCAGCAGCAGCAACAGCAGCAGACCCTATGGACCCATTCTCCCCGGACGCCTCCTCCTTCCCTGCAGCATCAGCAGCAGCATCAGCAGCAGCATCAGCAGCAGCATCAGCAGCAGCAGCAGCAGCAGCAGGGTCTGCTGCTGCGGCGTGATCGTGGTGGTAAGTTAAAGACAAAGTTAAGGAGAACAGAGAGAAGACGAAGAAAAGCAGAGGCCCTAAAGAGACGTCTGGGGCCCCTCAACCCTATGCAAAACTCAAAAGTACAGGGGGGCCCCCCTGGGGGGCCCCCTGGGGGGCCTCCTGGGGACCCTGGGGCCCCTGGGGGCCCCTTGGACTTAGGCGATGTTTTGATTGTACGCTAGACTGACAGAAGACTCAGGATTTAGGGTTTAGGGTTTAGGGTTAGCGTTTAGGGTTTAGGGTTAGGGTTTAGGGTTTAGCGAAGGGCTGTGGAAGGGATAGGGAGAAGAGGCAAAGAAAAAACAAATAGCAGAGACGGAACCCTAAACCCTAAACCCTAAAACAATTTACTCGTGGGGCTTCCACTGTATAGACGTCCTAAACCCTAAACCCTAAACCCTAAACCCTAGCATTCGTAACGTTGTCTCTAGCATGCCTGCAGGCTTTGCGTGAGCTGTCTTTAAGATTAGGGTTTAGGGTTTAGTGTTTTAGACTGTACGCTAGGGCTGAGCGACTTAGCCTTAAGGGTTTAGGGTTTAGGGTTTAGGGTTTAGGAGGAGACAGCTGCTTGGGGTGTATGTACAGGGGTACAGGGCCTTTGCAGCGAGCCCGAGAGACACAAATTAAAAAATAAATATAAAATATTTATTATATTCGCCTAAGGTATATGCATAGTATACATATATATTATATACATTTTATCTGTATATATATATATATATTATATACGTTTTATTTGTATATATATATATATATATATATATATATATTATATATATATTATATTTATCTTTGTTTACACCTGTTGGGTTTATCGCAAACATCATGTCCACGGAACATATCTACAAATAAATAATACATCTATATATATATATATATACATCTATATATATATGTATGTACATATACATGTATATGTATATATATATGTATATATATATATATATATATATCTGTAGCAGTCCCTTCAAGTGTCTCCGCAAACAGTGTAGCGTCTGTAGCAGCAGCAGGAGCAGCAGAAGCAGAAGTAGCAAAGGAGACACTTTAAACACAGACTGAGACAACCTCTAGACACCTCAGGGCTTCAGCCAGATCAGAGGGCAGCTCGCTGTACACCTCAAGATCCCTCATTTGAAGGGGGGCCCCAGGGGCCCCCTGTCTCCCCACTGAGGGGCCCCCAGGGGGCCCCCCTTTGAATTGCTGCTGTACAACGCCGAGATAACAACAGTGAAGAAACAAACGGGGACACCAGGAGAGATCAAACAAATACGAAGAAGGGTCTGCAGCAACAGCAACAGCAGCAGCAGCAGCAGCAGCAACAGCAGAGGCAGCAGCAGCAACAGCAGAAACCGCAACCATCAGAGATAGAAACCAACAGCAGGGGTGCGCTGCACTATCGAGCAGCAGGTGCTGCAGCAGCTGCTGCTTCTGACCTGCCAGCAGCAGCAGCAGTAGCAGCAGCAGCAATGGCAACAGGCTGCCTGAGCGCCCCACTTCTCCTAAACGCTGAATGTGTCTCCTCGCAGGGACTGTCTCTTCTCTACTACACTACGGAGCAGCTATTCTTTCCTGCTGCCGTTGCTGCTGCTGCTGCTGCTGCTGGTGCTGATGCTGCTGATGCTGCTGGTGCTAATGCCGCTGCTGCTGCTGCTGCTGCTGCTGCTGCTGCTGCTGCTGCTGACCTTTATGGTACTTATAATCTGCAGCAATGGGGTGCCCCATGGTAGACAAATGAATTCGTATTTGATGGGTCCTCCCCGTCAGCAGCTTCACTAAAAGGAGACTATACACTCGACCTGCGGAGACACCCCAACGCACATACACAGATACTCACTAATGCTACTATTGCTGCTGCTGTTGCTACTGCTGCTACTATTGCTGCTGCTGCTGATGCTGCTGTTGCTGCTGCTGTTGCTGCTGCTGCTGTTTGCAAAAAGTAGTGAAGAGGTGCAGAGACAACAGAACTGCTGCACCCACTTCACAGTGAGGCAGATGACCCTCTATGTTGGGGGCCCCCACCAGGGGCCCCCATCATTGGGGGCCCCTACTATTGGGGGCCCCTATTATTGGGGGCCCCTATTAATGGGGGCCCCTACTATTGGGAGCCCCTACTAATGGGGGCCCCTACTATTGAGGGCCTCTACTATTGGGGGCCCCTACTATTGGGGGCCCCCAGTGTGAGGGTGTTACCTTGTCGTTGCAAGTGGAGAAGGGGACGAAAGAGAGTGGTTGATGGCTGCAGCAGAAGAAAAGAGAGACGCAGCAAGCAGCAGCAGCACTAGAAGCAACTCGAGCAGCAACAGCCGCAGTAGCAGCAGCAACAGCAGCAGCAGCAGTAGCCGCAACAGCAGCAGCAGCAGCAACAAGGTCTATAATAGGGTACCTTGCCCTGTTGACTGCATATGCTGAAGATATGATTGTGGGGGGGGGGCCCCTTGAGGGTTTCTATGGGGCCGCTGACACCCCAAAATCCTTCGGAGCCCTGCAGCAGCTTGAGGCCCCCCCACGACATTTGTTGCTGCTGCTCCATTTGCTGCTGCTGCTGCTGCTGCTGTTGCTCGTTCTGCTGGTGCTGCTGCTCCTGAAGTTTCTGTTGCTGCTCTTTCTGCTGCTCCCCCATCCGCTTGTTCTGCTGCTGCAGCTCGCTCTGCTGCTGCTGCTCTTTCTGCTGCTGCTCTTCCTGCTGCTGCTGCTGCTGCACGCGTCCGTGTACGAGGGCGAGATAGAATTTGTTGAGTGTGTGGGCTTCAAACTGCATGCGGGCAAAATGAAAGCCCCGCGATGTCTTCGCAAAAAGAAGAGGACCTAAAATTCATGCATGCACACAATAATAGCGCTGCTGCTGCTGCTGCTGCTGCAGCTCATTCTGCTGCTGCTGCTGCTACTGCTAAGGCTACTGCTCTCTGTGACCCTGTTGCTGCCTTAGGGGCCCCCTTTGGGGCCTCATGGAGGGCCCCTAGGGGGCCCCGTTAAGGGCCCCCTTGCGCAATTCCCAAGGGGCCCCTATGGGGCCCCTTGCTAGCGACCGTGGGGTCTCCTAGGGGCCCCCTCGGGGGACCCTTGGGCGCCTCTTGGGGGCCCCTCGGGGGCCCCTCGGGGGCCTCGTGAGGGTCCGTTATATGCTCTGGGGGGCCCCCAAGGGCTTATAATGTTGCTTACCACTTGTCTCGCAGTCTAGTCTGTGTGTACATCCTGAGGAAACTGAAGAGTCAGAAAGAACAGAGACAAATTCAGCATTTGGAGACACCTCTTTTGTTGGGGCCCCCTTATATCTGCTGCTTGAAAGATGGGGGCCCCCATGGGGGCCCCCATGAGGGCCCTCATGGGGGCTCCCATGGGGGCCCCCCTGTGTTGTGTCTGCGGGGGCCCCCGGCAGCAGAGGGAGGGCCCCTTCTTGAACCCTGGCCCTAAGAAATAGATGGAGGGGTTCGGGCCTGCCGCTGTTTAGAAGTGCTTCGCTGAAAAGGAGACGATTGTCTCCTTTAGTGGTGGGAGGAGACAGATTAGATGAGAGGGGGCCCCCAGGGGCCCCCCACGAGGCCCATGGAGGCGTATCGAACCCAAAGGGGCCCCCTGGGGCCCCTGCAGCAGTCTGCTGCGCGTTAGCTAGCCAGTAAGGGGGCTTATATACAACCTAAAAGCATAAGGATACAGAAGAGACAGAGGAGACGCTTGAGAAGAAGGAGACAGTTAGAGACAGACGAAAGACAAAGGAGACACCTGCAGCAGCAGCGCTGGGATGGTAACAGCACCATTGCTATGCGGAGCAGCAGCAGCACAAGAATCAGCAGCAGCAGCAGCAACAACAACAGCAGCAAACAAACAGCAACGTCAAGAGCAACAACAATAGAGAATAGTAGTAGCAACAGCAGCAGCAACAGCAGCAGCAGCAGCAGCAGCAGCAGCAAATAAGCCTCACTAAGAAGTCGTCAGTGCTGAGGAGGGCCCTTGGCATCTCTTTTTGAAGGCCGCCTCTAAGGGCCCATCGCGGAGACAGAGGAGGCCTAGAGCCATTGGCTTGCTGCTGCTGCTGCTGCTGTTGCTGCTGCTGTTGCTGCTGCTGCTTCTGTTGCTGTTGCTGCTGCTGTTGCTGTTGCTGCTGCTGTTGCTTCGGTTGGTGCTGGTGCTGTTGCTGATCCGGCTGCTGCTGCTGCTGCTGCTGCGACTGCTGTTGCTGCTGGTGTTGCTGTTGCTGCTGCTGCTGCTGCTGTATGGTCTGTTCCCTTATGCATTTGCTGCTGCGGGTCTCTGCTACCAGCAGCGCAGCAGAAGTGAGGCCCCTGAGAAGTGAAGGAGACAAAAAGGAGACAGTGCTGAGGCAGCAAGTAAGGGCCCAGAGGTCGCGGAGACACCCTATTCCCTCTGGGGGCCCCTGCAGCAGCAGTTTACTGTCTCCTTTTGAAGTTATTCGGGGGCCCCCAAAGGCAAGCCCACGGGGGCCCCCTAATTTAAGACGCTGCATTATCTCCCTACAGACAGAACGCCACACTAAAATTGCTGCAGCCATATACCTCTCCTGCTGCTGCTGCTGCTGCTGCTCCTGCTGCTGCTCTAGGTCCTCGTTGGAATCGCGCTTGCCGGAGTGCAGCTTTTTATCTTGCAGCAGCTGCTCCTGATGCTGCTCCTGTTGCTGCTCCTGTTGCTGCAGCAGCAGCAGCAGCTGCTGCTGCAGCAACTGCTGTTTTTGTTGTTGCAGTTTTTGCTGCTGCTGCTGCTGCTTCTGCTGCTGCAGCTCTTGGATGCGCTTTTCTGCGTCTGCGCCCAGCAGCGCAGCTGTCTCCTTCAAGTGTCTCCTCACCAGCTGCCTAAGGAGACGCCGTTCAGGTGGGGCCCCGTGTCTCTTTAGCTGCAGCTGCAGCAGGGGCCCCCCAGCCTTTGATTCTGCTGCTCGCTGCAGCCCAATGCAGAGACCTGCTAAGTCCCTCAAAGAAGCCTCCCCTAAAAACCTGCTGCTGCTGCTGCTGCTGCTATTGCTGTTGCTGCTGCTGCTGCTGTTGCTGCTGTTGCTGTTGGAGATCAGCAACTTTGGAAGGGAGACAAAGAGGGCCTCAGGGAATTGCTGCTGCTGCGAGGACGCCAGCAGCGCAGCAGCAACATCACGGCAAGAGAGTGGGGGGCCCCCCTGTTGGGGGCCCCCCTGTTTCTGCATTGTCTCCTTTTGTGATGCATGCAGAGACACCTCAAGGCCTGAACTGTCTCTCTCAGGCAGGAGACACTTGCTTGGCTTTGCTGCTGCTGGGAGGCCCCCTTTAGGGGCCCCCCCTAAGCAGAAAGAAGCTTGTGCACGGCGCAGCAGCTCAGCAGCAGCAGCAGCACAAAGAGAAGGAGACACCTCACCGACAGCAGCAAAGGCCCACAAAACATTCGCTATTTGCTGCGGAGACAGCTGCTGCAGGCCTTGGGGCCTCAGGAGACAGTTTAAAGAGGCCTTAAAGAGACACTTGAATACAGCACTCTGAGCACAACTTGAAGAGGCCCCCAAGGGGCCCCAAGGGGGGCCCCTCAGGGGGCCCCCCAAGGAGACAGCTGCAGAATTGCTGCTGCTATAAATACGCATGAAGGTCGCCTTGCAGGCTGCTGCGGCCCCCTGCTGCACTTCAATCAAACCCTCTGTCTCCTTCTCTGGTGAAGACATGCGGGGGGCCCCCACTGGGGGGCCCCCCCCAGACTGTGTTGCTGATGAATGCGCTGCAACTGTCACTTCTTGGCCTCTTATTAGCTTAGTCTGCTGCTGCTGCTGCTGCTGTTGCTGCTGTTGGGGGTGTTGCTGCTGCTGTTCCTGCTGCTTCGGCTGTGGCTGCTGATGTTGCTGCTGCTGTTGTTGCTGCTGCAGCAGCTGCTGCAGGGCGCGTAGGTTGTTGTTCTGCACTTGCAAGAGAGCGCTGAGGGTTTGCTGCTTTGCTGCTGCATCTTCGGGGTGTCTGTACACCGCAGCCTTTGCTGCAGCCCAGATGACTGTTGAGTAGCCCCTCGCTTCAAAGGCCTCTACTTGCTGCAGAAAGGAGACAGCAAGACCGGCAAATGTCTCCTTCACCGCAGCCTGCAGCTGCAAGCGAGCTTCTGCAGCCTCTTGCTGCTCTTGCTGCTGCTGCTGCTGCTGCTGCTGTTTGTGCTGCTGCTGCTGCTGCTGTGAAGGTAGGGAAGCGATTAAGGCGGCCCCAGACCTGTCAAGCATAGTAGCGAGGCCCCACGCGATGTTGCAGATGTCTACGGGTAAGAGCAGCAGCAGCTGCTGCTGTTGCTGCTGCTGTTGCTGCTGCTGTTGCTGTAGCTGCTGCAGCAGAGGCTGCAGCAGAGGCTGCAGCACAGCAACAGCCGCAAGCGCCAAGGGGACATCGCAGGCCCCAAGGGCCCCGAGGGCCCACAGCGTGTTGGAGACAAGCTGGCGTGTGCTGCTGCTGCTGCTGCTGCTGCTGCTGCTGCTGTTGCTTCTGCTACTGTTGCTGCTGCTGCCCACAGTGAGTGCTTCGAGATGGCGCAGCAATTTGCTGCGGAGAGCAGAGAAGGTGGGGTTGGTGTACAGCAATCGCAAGAAAGGCGGCAACGACTGCGGCAGCAAGAGCTGCTGCTGTTGCTGCTGCTGTTGCTGCTGCTGCTGCTGCTTCTGATAGTGCTGCTGCGGGCTTTTCTGAAATGCAGCAGCAGCAGAGGCCGCTGCTGCTGCTGCTGCTGCTGCGTGTCCCTGCTGCCTGTAGATACGCCCTAAGAGGAGAAGGGCAGTAGCACAGTGCACAGCATCAAAGGCCTCCAGGTGCTGCTGCGAGTACTGCAGCACAGCAGCAACACCCTGACGGCTGCTGCTGCTGCTGCGGCTGCTGCTGCTGCTGCTAGGAGCAGCAGCAGCAGCAGCAGCAGTAGCAGCTAGAGGGGATCCTCCACGGGCCAGCAACCCAGACATCAGCTGCCGCGCGTTAGGGGGGCCCCAGAAGGTCTTTGAGGGGGGGCCCCTCTGGTGTAGGTTGGGAGCGGACGAGGCTGCTTCTTGCTGCTTCACGCTGCTGCTGCTGCCCTTGCTGCTGGTATTGCTGCTGCTGCTGTAGCTGCTGCTGCTGCTGCTGAGTCGGCGCGTGGTGTATGTAGCACGATGCACTTGCAGCAGCAGCAGCAGCAGCAAATGCTGCTGAGTCCTAGGGCCCCCACTTCGAAGGCTAGACCACGCTGCAGCATAGGGAACGGGGGCCCCCTGGGGGGCCCCCAAGGGCCCTGTAACCACAAGCCGGGGGCCCCGAAGGGGCCCCACTCCCTGGGGTCCCACACCCGGGGGCCCCACCCCTGGGGGCCCTACCCCTGGGGGCCCCACACTTGGGGGCCCCTTCAAAGGAAGGGGGAGTGCAGTGGTAGGTCTAAGGGGCCCCCAACGGCGAAGAAGGCAGTGGGGGCCCCCGGGGCCCCTCGCTCCATTGCTGGGGGCCCCTGGAGGAGGGTACATTGGGGCCCCTGGGGCCCCCCTGGAGAGCAGCAGAAGGCGAGAGAAGTGAAGAGACAGTAATAATGCTTTTCTTTATTTTAATTAATAAAAAAACAAACAAATGAGCTGAATTTATGTACAGAGCATACACCATAGGGAAGAAGGTTTGGGGCCCCCAAGGGGGGCCCCCAGGGGGCCCCCCATGCGATCTGTCTCCTCCAGAGGGGGCCCCCGTAGCTAGAGGGTACTGAAGGAAAGGTAATAGTGACTGCAGCAAAACTTCTTAATAAAATAAATAAATAAAACTCAGCTTTATATGTTAAAACAAAGCAAAGAAAAACGAGGCCAAGGTGGGGGCAAACAGGCCCACTACTTGACCAATGGTCTCCCCCTACAGGAAGGTGTTACGACGAAGAGGGAGAGGGGCCCCCCAGGGGACCCCTAAGGGCCCTTAGGGGGCCCCCCAGTGCTTTAAGGGGGGCCCCCCGCCGGTGGGCCCCTCTCCTTCCATGACGCTTTGCTTCAGCCACAAAACAAACGTACAGGTCCTGGGGGCCCCCAGGGAGAGAGAGGCCCCCAGCAGGGAGGGGCCCCCAAGCTGGTAGGGGGCCCCTCACTTCATTGACTTTGAAAGGGTGGGGTCTAGGGGCCCCCTGAGCCTCTATACTACCCCCTCTAGAGGGCCCCAGCTATTTGTTTTATTATAAGACGCAGGCATGATACCTAGGGGGGCCCCCACTGGTAGTGGGGGCCCCCAATGAGGGTGGTGGGGGCCCCCCTCTTGTAGTTGCTAGGAGTTGTTAATAGTCTCCATGTTTTGCTTTTCTCCATACAACAGGGACCCTCGGGATCAGAGGAGACTGTCTCTTTAGGAAACTGTCTCCTGTCTCCTCCACCCCTAAAGAAGGCCTCAACATACTGCCCGTGGGGGCAGGGGGGCCCCCCTTGGGGTCATTGGGGCCCCCAATAGGGTCAAAGGGGGCCCCCATCAGGCGTTGAGGGCCCCCCAACACAAGGCCCTGGGGGCCCCCTAGGGGGTCAATGAAAGCCCCATGAGGGCCCTGGGGGCCCCCTAGGGGGTCAATGAAAGCCCCATGAGGGCCCTGGGGGCCCTCATGAGGGCCCTGGGGGCCCCCCTGAGGGCCCTGGGGGCCCTTGTTAGTACCAAATATAGCAGCCGTTAGGTGAAGAAATTGCTGGGGGCTGAGGGCCTGAGGCCTTTGCGTTGCGAATTGTAAAGGGACGGAGACACCCGGAGGCAGAATTGGCTGCGAGAGAAGAAGGAGACAGACAGATAGATAGAAAAGGAGACAGCTGAAGGAGACCCATAAAAGAGGCATTAAAAAGGAGACAGGTGCAGCAGGAGGAGACGGATAGAAGAGACAATAAAACAAAGCAGAAAAATAGAAACAACGCGCATCAGTAAAGGGCCTTTACCTCAAGAAATGAAGAATATATAAATAAATACCCCACACAACAACAAAGGAGACTAACTGTCTCCTGCTTATTTACAGACCCACCTTCAGACTATGCCGCAGCATCTTCCGCCGCTGGCCAAAGGCAGCAAACAAAACCTGCAGCAGCAGCAGCAGCAGCAGCAGCACTAGCAACAGCGAGAAGCAAGAGATAGAAGGACTTCTTAAAGCAGCAACAGTTCAGCACGCATATCCGAAACAGCAGCAACAACAGCAGCAGCAGCAGCAGCGAAAACAGTTATCTCGCAGCAGCAGCAGCAACAGTACCAGCTGAAGCTGCAGCAGCTGCAGCAACACCAGCAGCAGCAGCACACGCAATAACCGCAAAAGCAGCAGCACCACCACCAAAAGCACCCGCAATAACAACAACAACAGCAGCAACAGCAGCAGCAACAGCAGAAGCACCCGCAACAACAACAACAACAGTAGCAGCAGCACCAGCAGCAGCAGCAGCAGCAACAGCAGCAGCAGCAGCAGCAGCAACAGCAGCAGCAACAGCAGCAGCAACAGCAGCAGCAACAGCAGCACAAACTTTCTTTAGGTCTTTTGCATTAACCCCATTTAGGAGCTCCTCATCACTTTCGTGGCGGAAGTCAACGCGCACAACGGCAGACTCCACCTGCATACAAACCCTAAACCCTAAACCCTAAACCCTAAACCCTAAACCCTAAACCCTAAACCCTAACTCCGAACCCACCGAACCCAACGTGTTGGGGTGCAGCCAGGTCAGTGGGGCTTCGGCAAAGGGAGGGTTTAGGGTTTGGGTTAACTTGAGGTCTGCGTCTGGTTTTACGCAAAGGATTAGGGTTTAGGGTTTAGGGTTTACCTTTGGCTGGGGATAAAAAGCATGAGAAGGGACAGTAAATAACAGCGAGGGTTTTGCTAACAAAGCAAAAGCAACGCTCAACCGACAGTAAGCCGCCTCGCCTGGAGCAGCCACCAGTCTCTAAAGAAGACAAAAGGAGACAGATAAAGAGACAAGAGGAGACAAATAAAGAGACAAGAGGGGACAGATAAAGAGACAAAAGGAGACAGATAAAGCGATAAAAAGAGACAAATAAGGAGATAAATAATGAGGCAAAAGGAGACACATAAAGACATAAAAGGAGACAGAAAAAGAATGCCTTCTTGGTCCCTAAAGACGAAGAAAGATGTTCAATGAAGTAAGAGATCCTTTAATTGGCATATTTGCAGTGAATGTACAAAAGGAGACAAAAGGAGACAAGAGGAGACAACGGGAGACAACAGGAGACAAAGAAGCATGTGGAGACAGAAGGAGACAAAAGAAGATAAAAGGAGACAGCTAAGCGCGGAAGGAGACAGAGACAAATAGAAGAAGACAGAAGTAAAGAGAGAGACATAGAAAGCATCTAATAGAAGCCAGGAGCCCCCAGAGACCCCTTCGGGTCCCTGGGGGCCCCCTGGGGCCTTTAGGGGCCCCAAGGCACCAAGTTGGGGGCCCCCTTGTGCTTAGGGTTTAGGGTTTAGGGTTTAGGGTTTAGGGTTATTTTACCTCCGCCACTTCTTTTTGCAGAGTAACAACCGCCAGGTCAATGTAATGCCGGCAATCCAACAGACAAAAAAGAAGCTGCAGCAAACCCCATATAAACCCTAAACCCTAAACCCTAAACCCTAAACCCTAAACCCTAGACGGTAAAGGTCAAAGCCACGTGAGCGACAGTGGGGAGGGGGTTTTTGCAAACCCCCAGAGGAGCCGACAGACACAAGGCGAATATACCCTCAACACCTGCGGTTTAGGGTTTAGGGTTTAGGGTTTAGGGTTTGGGGTTTAGGGTTTGAAGGCAGTACCTGACTCGTGAGGTAGAAGGGCAGGTTCCCAACAATGCGCAGTCGCTGCATGTGGTGGCCGAGGTAAGGCCAATTCACCTGCATCCAAACCCTAAACCCTAAACCCTAAACCCTAAACCCTAAACCCTAAACCACAAACCCTAAACCCTAAACCACAAACCCTAAACCCTTAACCCTGCAGCCTCACTCAACCCTCCGTCTCCTGCCCCCAACTCCAGCATCTCCGAACCCTAAGGTGCAGCCCTAAACCCTAAACCCTAAACCCTAGCAGCAGCACCTGTAAGACGTCCTCATGCAGCAACTGCAGGCCCGGCAACCGCTGGCTGAGGAGAGCGATGGCCCTGGGGTCAATCTCAACAGCTGAAGAGCAAAGGAGACAGAATGAGACACTTTTATTTGTATAGGCAGACAAAAGGAGACACTTTTATTTGTATAGGCAGACAAAAGGAGACACTTGTCGGGTTGTAAAGGCGGCATTGTCTTGTTATAGAGACACAATACTATATATATATATATATATATATAGTATTGTGTCTAAAGGAGCCGCATGTATTCAAACAGAGGGGCAGACACCTATATTGTTGTAGACAGACAAAAGGAGACACTTTCTATAGAGAGGCAAAAGGAGACACCTTCTATAGATAGACAAAAGGAGACACCTTCTATAGACAGACAAAAGGAGACAGACATCTTGCCACAGCACAGCATCCACCCGAGGGCCCCTAGGGGGCCCCTAAGGGGCCCCCAAGGGGCCCCCTAGAGGAGGTCATGGGGGGCCCCTAAGAGACAGAAGAGACAGCTGCTGCTGCTTACCCAGCATATCAGGATACAGAGGGTACAGCAAACGCGTGAGGGCCCCCGTCCCGGGGCCCACTTCCACTACTCGGCTAAGCGGTGCAGCACCAGCTCCCCCCTGCTGCTGCTGCTGCTGCTGCTGCTGCTGCTGGGCCTCCCGCTGCGCTGCTGCAGCAACAGCCCCTTTAAATGCCTTAACAATTCGTCTGCATATGTTTGCATCCGCTAAAAAGTTTTGCCCTAGACTTTGCTTCGGCCTAAACAAACAAACAAAACACAAAAAGTATATGCATATAAACTTCGCATGCAACGAGGGCCCCTAGGGGCCCCTAGGGGCCCCCTCATCCAACGAGGGGGCCCCCCTAAGGTACATATGGGGTACCGGGGGCCCCCAAGGGGGGGCCTTGAGTGACACTGTGATGCCTGCTAGGGGCCCCTCCTCTGCGAAGATTAAACCCACCTAAATTCTCCTCTTGGCAGCCGAGCTGTACCCTCTTCAGCTGAGGCATCCAACACCAAGGGGGCCCCATCCCGGGGCCCCTCACGGGGCCCCTCAAGGGGCCCCTCAAGGGGCCCCCCTCTCTCCACAGGGAGTTCAGGGGGCCCCCCTGTTTGTTGTTGAGGGTTTTGTTTAAGTGGATATATCTGCAGGTTCTCCAAGGGACGAAAGGCAGACCGAGAAGCCCCCGGGGGGCCCCCGGGGGGCCCCCCTGGGGGCCCCCCTTCTTTTGCCTCGGGGGGCCCCCCTTCTCTCCTCTTGGGGCACCCCCGGTAGGGCCTGCCTTCAAAGGGGGCCCCCGAAGGGGCCCCTCTCAGAAGAGAGAGAGGGGCCCCCCTATGCGAACTTGAGGGCCCCCCCCTTCTCTTTAGCAGCAGGGGGGGGCCCCCTGTTGCTGCAGTGGGTCGGGGAGATAGATCAGGGACAGAGAGGAATAATGGAAACAGCTGCTGCTGCTGCTGCTGCTGCTGTTGCTGCTGCTGATTGGACAGCGGTGCTGCAGCACTAAGCTGGGGTGTATATACAGCTGCTGTGTGTGCTGCTGCAGCAGCAGCTAAAAGCCAAACAAAAACAGAAGCTTCTCCTAAGACTATCATTTGTTGGGGGCCCCCTAGGTACACCCTGAATGCATTTTAGGGGCCCCCTCATTAGCAGCTGCTGCAAGAAGAGGGTTTAGTATAGGGCCCCAGGGGCCCCCCTCCTCCTTTGTGTCTGTGTAGTATAAGGAAGCAGCAAGAAGTTAAGATTCATCTTAACTTTAAAAGGGGGTTAGGGGGGCCCCCTTGCCGCAGGGTTTAGTAGGGGGCCCCCCTTTGTGGCTGGGGGCCCCCCGCGTCGCTGCAGTGGGGGCCCCCCCTCTTGTTTGAGGTTTGTCTGCAGTTTGTTGCTGTTTGTTTGTTTAGTTTGTGTTTAAGTTTGTTTTGATAATAATATTATGTTAATATTATTTAAAAGGAGACAGTAAAAGGAAGAAAGAAGAGAGATAGGCCGTGCAATGAAGAGGGGCCTCCTCAGCTGCAGCACAGCCTTTGTCTCTGCTCTCTGCTTTGCTGCTGCGGGGGCCCCCCTCCGTTCTTCTCTTCTTTTACCTTCTTATAAACATTTTAATTCAAAACATTATTCATTTCTTCGTTGTTATCTTTACAGAAGCTCCTGCAGCACCCAAAGAGGTAGGTGTTCCCTAGTGGGGCCCCTGTGGGGGCCCCCTGGGGGCCCCCACCCCCTCTCCACCCCGTGGCTGCTGCTGCTGCTGCTGCTGCTGCTAGGCGTTGCAGTGTCTGTGCAGTGTGTGTTTTTGTGGGTATTATTTCTTCATTTATTTGAGGTGTATAAACACAAAAGAGTTAAATAATTTGTTTATTATATTTATTTGCTTCCGTTTACTTCTTTAGGGTTTTGTCTGGGGCCTGCAGCATACCTGACGCCGTACTGCAACTTCCTGCAGCAGCAACAGCAGCAGCAGCAACAACAACAGCAGCAACAGCAGCAGCAACAACAACAACAGCAGCAGCTGTTGTCTCCCTCATCTCCTCTATCTCGTCTTCTCTATCCTTTATCTCTAAACTCTTCTGCTGCTGCTAAGTGCACAATGGGGGCTCTTACAACAGCAGCAGCAGCAGGAGGAGCAGGTACTGCAACAGTGACTGCAACATCACCTGAAAACCAGCAACAGCAGCAGCAGCAGCAGCAGCTGCTGCTGCGCCCCACAAAAGAACCCAAGGAGAAGAGGAGGGCCGACTATAAACCAACAGATTACCTCATAGACTCTGTAGATCTCTGCTTCCGCCTCGATGCAGAAGCAACAAAAGTAAGGCAGCAGCAGCAGCAGCAGCAGCAACAGCAACAGCAGCAGCAACAGCAGTGGTAGCAGAGGCAGCGGCAGCAGCAACAGCAGCAGCAGGAGCATACGCAGCAACAGCAGCACCAAAACACATGTAAAGAGACAGCCTGAGATTGAAGAGACTATGAAGGAGACATAGAAAATATCTGTCTCCTCCTGCAACAAAAAGGAGACAGGGGACACTCTCCCGCTGCTTGTGTCTCTTATGCTGCTGCTGCTGTTTCTGCTGCTGCTGCCACAGTTTCCCTGCTGCTGCTTCTGTTTCTGTCTGTGCTGCTTCTATCCCCATCTGTGCTGCTGTCTCTGCTGCTTTTGCTGCTGCTGCTTGTCTTAGGTGACGTCAGTGCTATCAATGCGTAGACGGGAGGAGACACCTCCTGCAGATTTGCGTCTGGACGGGGAGGGTTTAGAGATTCACGGGGTATGGATAGATGGACAGGAGACACCTGGGGGCCCCCTGGGGGCCCCTGGGGGCCCCTTGAAAGGGTACGGTGTTGATTCAGAGGGGGCCCTGCATATTCCTTCAGGCTTGCTTCCTTTAGAGTCTGGGAAGGAGTTTAAAGTGAAGACAGAGGTGACTATACACCCCAAGACAAACCTTAAACTCTCGGGTTTGTATGCTACGGGGGATCTATTATGTACACAGTGTGAAGCTGAAGGGTTTAGACGAATTACCTTCTTCTTAGATAGACCCGATGTTATGGCGAAGTTCAAGGTATTAAACCCTAAACCCTAAACCCTAAACCCTCAACACGCGAGACACCCAGACCTTAGCTGTCGTTTCATACCCCTAAACCTCCCTCAGACATACCCTAAACCCTAAACCCTCTTCTACCCTTCATATCTCCCCTATCTTTGTCTCTCCAAGGGTTTAGGGTTTAGGGTTTAGGGTTTAGGGTTTGGGGTGTATGTATGAGAGTCTCGGTTGTAGTTTTTGGATCCCCGTTGATATCCTGGATTGTCCTATAGTGTTTAGGGTTTAGGGTTTAGGGTTTAGGGTTTAGGGTTTTGTTTCAGGTTCGTCTGGAGGCTGACGCTAAGCAATACCCAACCTTACTTAGCAATGGAAATAAAATAGAAGAGGGGCCCCTAGAGGGGGCCCCCGATCTTCATTATGCAGTCTTTGAAGATCCTTTCTTAAAACCCTGTTACTTGTTTGCTCTTGTTGCGGGGCCTCTATCTTTTATTGAAGACACCTTCACTACCATGGTACCCCATCTAAACCCTAAACCCTAAACCCTAAACCCTAGCGAAGGCCTAAACCCACACACGGTCGCGAAACCCTAAACCCTTCTTTCTTAAACCCTAAATCCTACCTACATTCCAGCTAAACCCTAAACCCTAGCTATACGCTGGCTTAACCAGTCGCCATAGCTAAACCCTAGCTAAACCCTAGCTAAACCCTACATCATAGCTAAACACTCAACAGTAGCTAATCCCTAAACCCTAGCTCAAGCATCAGCCGCAGGCCTTGGGTGTATCTTCTTAGTGTTTAGGGTTTATGTTTGGTGTACTAGGATCTCTTTAGGGTTTAGGATTTAAGTTTGTTTCCTTTCTATTAGAATATCTGGGGTTTAAGGTTTAGGGTTTAGGGCTTAGGGTTGGTTCTCTCTCGTACTTTGTAGTCTATTTCTTTCAGTGCTTCGCTGTTTTAATTATATGCTGTTTATTTTTTAATTTAAGGCTTAGGGTTTAGGTTAGTTTAGGTTAGTTTAGGGTTTCCTAGGGTTTTCCTAGGCTTTACTGGGATTTACTAGGGTTTAGGGTTTACTAGGGTTTAGGGTTTACTACGTTTTCGTATGGTTTCCTAGGGCTTGATAAGTGTTTATTACGGTTTAATATGGTTTCCTAGGGTTTAGGGTTTAGGGTTCCCTAGGGTTTAGGGTTTAGGATTCTTTAGGATTTAGGGTTTAGGATTCTTTAGGATATAGGGTTTAGGATTCTTTAGGGTTTAGGGTTTAGGGTTCCTTAGGGTTTAGGGTTTAGGATTCTTTAGGATTTAGGGTTTAGGGTTCTTCAGGGCTTAGGGTTCTTTAGGGTTTAGGGTTTTTAGGGTTTAGGGTTTTTAGGGGTTTGTAAGGGTATTTAAGGGTTTGTGTGGAACTGCAGAGCGGGAAGAAGGTTCAAATTCGGGTGTATGGGCAGCCTAGCGAGACGACGAAGTTACAATTTGCGCTGAGCTCTGTGAAGAAAAGTATGAAGTGGGATGAAGACGCATACGGCAGAGAGTACGACTTAAACTCTTTTGCTGTTGTTTGTGTTCGCGATTTTAATATGGGTGCTATGGAGAACAAAGGCCTTAATATCTTTAACTCTTCGCTTCTTCTTGCAGACCCTAAGACAACTACAGGTTTGATATTACACCTTCTTCCTCCTACTCCTGCTATTGCTGCTGCTGCTATTGCTGCTGCTGCTATTGCTGCTGCTGCTATTGCTGCTGCTGCTATTGCTGCTGCTGCTGCTGCTGCGGCGGCAGCAGCAGGAGCAATACGGAGAGAAATAGCAGTAGAGAAGTAGCAGCAATAGCAGCAACAGCAACAGCAACAGCAGCAGCAACCGAGGTAGAATAAATAGTAAGGGTAGGAGACGAACAGCAGCGGGAGCAGCAGCAGCATCAGCAGCAGCTAGAAGGAGAGAATAATGCATAGTCTATAGTTTTCTTATGAGGGCGTAGCTCTCTCTGAACACAAGGACAGAGGGTTTAGGGTTTACCATTGAGGGTTTAGGGTTTGGGGTGTGATTTCACGGGAGCTAAACCCTAAACCCTAAATTAGGGTTTTGTTCTGCAGATGCGGAGTACGAGAGGATTTTGGGGGTTGTCGGCCACGAATACTTCCACAACTGGACGGGTAACAGAGTCACCTGCAGGTAAACCCTAAACCCTAAAACCCTAAACCCTGAAACCCTAAACCCTAGAACCCTAAACCCTAGTTTGCAATTAAGAGGTTTAGCGGTGTGCAGCTGGGGAGGATGGCGGCGTGCGGAAGCCCTTGCTTGCTTCGTTTGGACCTCTTTGTTGTTTCGTGTTAGGGTTTAGGGTTTAGGGTTTAGGGTTTATGAGGGTTTAGTGTTGTCTTATTAGGGTGTAGGGTTTAGGGTTTAGGGGTAGTTGTGTTAGGGCTTGTGGGATTCTTTTCGTCTGTCCCTGTTAAGGGTGTATACTGTTTATACATATCATATAATATATATATATATATATATATATATTATATATCTATTTATTTATTATATTTGTTTATATTTGTGTTGTTAGCATATAAGAAATATATCAGCATATTTGATGTCTTTAATCTTTCCGATTGACAGATGCATATATATTAAAGCAGATTATTTATATTTGTTTGTTTGTTAGTTTGTTTGTTTTTGTTTTTATAGGGATTGGTTTCAGTTAACATTAAAAGAGGGCTTAACAGTATTTAGGGATCAGCAGTTCTCATCATCTATGGGTTCAGCAGCAGTAAAAAGAATTGAAGATGTTTGCTATTTAAGAGAGCATCAGTATCCAGAGGATGCAGGCCCTATGAGTCATCCTATACGTCCTGAGTCTTATATAGCGATGGACAACTTCTATACACTGACTGTTTATGAGAAGGGTGCTGAAGTTATTCGCATGTAATTCTTTACTCTTCATATCTTTTCTATTACACTCACTCTTTCTTTTCTTTTATTCTTTGTTGTGTCTCAGTCTTCATCGCTTTCTCTCTCTCAGTGCTCTTTTTACTCTTACCAGTCTCCTCCTCATTATTATTGCCTATTGAAGTGTTGATGTATATATATATATATATGTATGTATATATATATGTATGTATATGCATGCATATACATATATGTGTATATGTATAATATGTATATATATATTAGTTGTTCTGATTATTCATAATAACAACAATATGCAGCTATTCATATATTATATATAATGTAACATAATATAATATGCATATTATATATATATGTATATATATAATATATATAATAATATATATAATATATATAATAATATAATATATAATATAATATATATTGTGTGCAGCTTGGTGTCTGCTATTCAGTGTCTACGCTTCAGGCTTGCGTTTTTCCTCTTCCTCGTCATTATTCTCTATTTGCTAT